TTCTCCCATTGACTTCAATGGGCTGAAGAGCCAGTTCTTGGAAACTAAAGTGATGGGGAAATTAGAAGGATTATACAGTTGCAACCATGCATCCTTTGGTGGGACACAACTGAGAGTATCAATTCAGGACAAATTGCTTAGAGCAGGGCAGTCACAGCCCCAGGCTGGTGGTTCTCCACCTCTAAGGCACACCAAACCAGCCAAACAGAGATGACTTTAGTTTTACCCCCCTGGCTAACCATAAGTCATACAAGCAATTCCCTTAGACGCTCCAGTTTCCCAGTATCACCACAAGTGCCACTCGTTACAGGGACGAATGGTTATGAAAACCAATACCCCAGTAAAAGAAAAAAGGATCTCCCGATCCCAAAGGACCAAGCCCCAGACCCAGGTCAATATACAAGTCAGATCTTACCCACAAATCACACTGTTGCCAATCCTTTAGAATCTAAAATCTAAAGGTTTATTCATAAAAGGAAAAAGATACAGATGAGAGCTAGAATTGGTTACATGGAATCAATTACATACAGTAATGGCGAAGTTCTTGGTTCAGGCTTGTAGCATTGATGGAATAAACTGCAGGTTCAAATTAAGTCTCTGGAGTACACCCACAGCTGTGATGGGTCATTCAGTCCTTTGTTCAGCGCTTTAGTTTGTAGCAAGGTTCCTCCAAAAATAAGAAGCAGGATTGAAGACAAGATGGAGGGGTTTCCAGCACAGGTGCCAACTTTTCAGCTTGCGCCCTCTGCCCCTGCCCTGACTCCGCCTCCTCCCTGCCCCTATTGGACCCCTCCCCAAATCCCTGCCCCAGCCCTGAGCGTGCTGCATTCCTCCTCCTCCCCCCTCCCTCCCAGCGCTTGCCACATGAAACGGCTGTTTCCCGGCGCAAGCGCTGCGAGGGAGGGAGGGAGGGAGGGGGAGAAGCAGGACGCAGTGGTGCGCTCAGAGGAGGTGGCGGAGGTGGAGCGGAGGCAGAGGTGAGCTGGGGCAGGTTGGGGAGCTGCTGGTGCGTGCAGAGCACCCACCAATTTTTCCCCGTGGGTGCTCCAGCCCCAGAGCACCCAAGGAGTCGGCACCTATGGTTTCCAGGGCCTTTTATATTCTCTGCCCATGGAAGGACACCCCTTTGTTCTTCCTGTGGAAAATCACAGCAGCAAGATGGAGTCTGGAGTTACATGGCCAAGTCACATGTCCATGCATGACTCAGTTTGCAGGCCGACAGCCCGACGCCATTGTTTACATGTTAGTTTGAATGTTCCCAGGAAAGCTCAGATGTGGATTGGGATTTCCCAAAATTCATTGTCAGTTAAGTGTTTCTTGATTGGGCACTTACTTTGCAAATTCCTTTCTCAAGAAGCTGACCAAATGCTTCACTAATGCTATTTAGAATCAAACACATTGAGATACAAGTACATGGCCAATATTCATAACTTCAACTACAAAAATGGTACACACATACAGATAGCACAATTATAATCAGCAAATCATAACCTCTTCATAGACACCTTACATGACAACCTTTGTACAATATTCTCTGAAAATATATAACAGTGGTTGCAACAATGATCTATACGGTCAGAGTTCATGTCAATAATGTCACAACAATACATAATATTACCAAGATTTACATTATCTCTGATAGAGACAAGGAAGGTGAGGCCCAACAGAAGTTGATCCAGTAAAATATATTACCTCACCTACCTTGTCTCTCATATTCTGGGACCAACATGGCTATGTCAACACTGCAAACATTAGCATTGATAGACCTGTTCCTGCAAAGCCCAGTGTCCAGGGCATAGTACCATATATATAATAAGAAAAGGAGTACTTGTGGCACCTTATAAGCTTATGCTCAAATAAATTGGTTAGTTTCTAAGGTGCCACAAGTACTCCTTTTCTTTTTGCGAATACAGACTAACACGGCTGTTTTTCTGAAACCTGTCATATATATAATATTATATCATTATAATTTCTCTTCCTGAAGCTCCATTATACAGCAACACTTGCAAATATAGGTATTTCTAAGTTGGGGAGAAAGTCAAAATCCAACAAAAGTCACTGGAACACAATAGTTACAGCAGGCCCTTTTGCTTCTCACACTGCTCCACTGCTGAGCCCTGTCATCTGGCTCCAACTCCTCTTATTTATAAACTCCCCACTCCCCTTGAGTTCCCATTTAGTTCCATTTTCAGAGAGTGTGACAGGGTTTGGAGGGCAATCCAGAACAGCGAAGGGTTGTGTCACCAATTGCCTTGCAAACCTGAGTGCCTCACGATGCTTTGCTGCTATAGCTCCCAACCTGGGATGCTCCCAACCAACCTACAAACATGCAAGTCACACCTTGAAGTGTCTGAGGGCTTAGATGGCCCTGGTTCAGCAGCTCTGACCAAAGCAACCTGTCTACAGCCCCACTCTGGCTTCCTCCAGCCTTGGTTACAACCAGCAAGGTGAGCCCAACACAGTCCCAATCTCAGATTTTCCCAAAACCATGTGCTCTGTAATGTTCAGCCCTTTCCTGGATAGTTCACAGCTGTTTGTGCCCCTAAAGACAAAAAAGGACTCTGGCAAGTGTGAATGAAGACAGGGGTGTGCGCAAGCAAGTCAAACAAGTGTACAGGCCTCGCCAATCAGTGGGGGCACAGAACTCTTCTGGGGCGAGCAAGCGCCTCAGGGGCCGGGCTGGGGGATGACAGTTTCTAGGCCTGGGGAGAACCATGTTCTCTAGCTGCGGGGGGGGGGGGGGGGGGGTGAGCCAGGTCTTCTGGGAATGGGGGGGGGGAGGGAGACAGGAGAGAGGAGAGCCAGCTCCTCCGGAAGTGGGGGGCCCAGAAAGTGCCCTCCAAAAGTGGCCAAATTTTTATTCCTGTGCATGCCCCCGCATGCAGGGTCCCCCCCAAAAACATAAGAACTATGTATCCTTTCCACTGTATCTTCCCTTATTTACAACACTAAATGCTACAATACAAGTATGTGGGTACACAACCAGTCCACACCTTGGTGGGAAAACCTGTGCCTAATCCTAGGAAACAGGAGATACATGGCAAAGATGGCATCACACTGTGCAGAAACTTGCCACCGGAACAGGAATGGACAGTAATGATAAAGAAATGGGCACGTAGCTCTGTCCTGTGTTGATTGTATCTACCTCTGACAGATAACCTGACACGTTTCTTTTTACTGTCTGGCAATCCTTGCCTAAACCAGTCGGAGAACACTTCAATCTCTCTGGTCACGCAATTACAGACATGAAGGTCGCTATCTTACAACAAAAAAACTTCAAATCCAGACTCCAGCGAGAAACTGCTGAATTGGAATTCATTTGCAAATTGGATACTATTAATTTAGGCTTAAATAGAGACTGGGAGTGGCTAAGTCATTATGCAAGGTAGCCTATTTCCCCTTGTTTTTTCCTACCCCGCTCCCCTCAGACGTTCTGGTTAAACTTGGATTTATGCTGGAAATGGCCCACCTTGATTATCATACACATTGTAAGGAGAGTGGTCAGTTTGGATGAGCTATTACCAGCAGGAGAGTGAGTTTGTGTGTGTGGGGGTGGGGTGGGGTGAGAAGACCTGGATTTGTGCTGGAAATGGCCCACCTTGATTATCGTGCACATTGTGGGGAGAGTGGTCACTTTGGATGGGCTGTTACCAGCAGGAGAGTGAGTTTGTGTGTGTATGGGGGTGGGGGGTTGAGAAAACCTGGATTTGTGCTGGAAATGGCCCTCCTTGATTATCATGTACATTGTAAGGAGAGTGATCACTTTAGATAAGCTATTACCAGCAGGGGAGTGGGGTGGGAGGAGGTATTGTTTCATGGTCTCTGTGTATATAATGTCTTCTGCAGTTTCCACAGTATGCATCCGATGAAGTGAGCTGTAGCTCACGAAAGCTTATGCTCAGATAAACTGGTTAGTCTCTAAAGTGCCACAAGTACTCCTTTTCTTTTTGCGAATACAGACTAACACGGCTGTTACTCTGAAACCAATCCTTGTGTAGCTTGTCACACCAAACCCCCCCCCCCCCAGTGAGTTGAATGTATTAAGTATGGTGTCAGACTTGAATACTTAACCTATGGTGATTACCATAGCTTTATTTTTCTTTAATACTGTATGCAAGGTGTCTGCGTTGTTTGGGGTAGCCTGTCTGCACTTTAAGTGTTAAACAGTGAAGATAGTTTGGGAATTAACATTGGTTACAGCTGCCTAGAGCAATGGGCAGGCAGACACCTGTACTCATGCAGAGCACCACTTATTTCAAACGGTAACGGGGTGGGTCCGGGGGGGGCAGAGGGGCTCCCCTATGGAGCTGATTGCAGGACAGTGGCGATAGCAAGTAAGCTCTCTGAAGACATGGCAGGGCCTTTATTTGCCCTTTGTTATGTGCAGAGCCATGCATGTCCTCAGTGCTAACAAATAACGGGTGGCCCTACAGCTGAGCTACCCCTCGCTGGCAAGTGAAGTGGGTTGCTCATCTCTCCTGCGGTGACCTAGGGAGTGCATGGCGATCATTACACCCCGTCCCACAGGTGCTTTATCCAGCCCCCATCAGCGTAGCAGCTGAGCCCTCCCTGCTCTTGAATCATTCCCTCCCCCCATGAGGCAGGGCAACAATGCCGCTGTCCCCACGGGGCACTTGGGGAAACTGAGGCACAGAGAGCCTGGTGCTTTGGCCGAGGTCACAGGGGGAGTCTGTGGCAAAGCAGGGACTTGAACCTGGGCCTCTGAGGGCCTGGGTCACCCTTCCAGCCCGCAGAGAGGGGCCATGCTCGGGCACGGGCTCCCGGGTGGCGCCGTGGGGCCCGGAGCTCCCCACGCCCGGCCGAACGGGGCACTCCCCGTGGCGGCGAGGGGCCGCTCAGGAGAGAGGAACCAAGCAGAGGAGGGACTGAGAGCAGGCGCCTCGCCCCAACTCGCCCTCTCTACTCAGGCGCTCGCCGCAGTCACCTATGCACCGGGCCCTCTGACGTCATCTCCGCGCGGGCAGCCGGTTAGGCCCCCCTTGAGGGTCCTTCTGCTGGGGGCGTCGTGTCGGTCTCAGCGGAAGGGCGTCCTCCTGCTGCTGTGCTGGGTCCGCGATGTCCTTGCGGCTGGGGAAGCTCGCCCGCCCGGGGGCTGCGGCCGTTCGGGGCCGCCCGGGGCTCGGCGCCCTGCGAGTGGTGAGGCGGCCTCCCGCTGGCCGAACGGAGCGGGGGGCTTGTGGCCTTCCGCGCCCTAGGGCGGACCCTGGCCGGGGGACTGGGCGCTGTGCAGCGCCTGGCAGGCCGGGGCCAGCTCCCGTGCTCAGGGTCTGACCGGTCCCCCTGCGGGGCGGGGGGGAGTTTCCCCCAGGAGAGACTGGCAGAGGCCTTGGCGGGTTCCCACCTTCCGCTGCAGCGTGGGGTGTGGGTCGCTTGCTAGGATCATCTGGGGAGAAATTCCTGCCATTGAGGGGGGCCTCGGGCACTGGTGCAGCTTGGTCCCTGCTGCGATCCGCCTGTGGCACGTAATAGTCTAGTCTAGTGTAGCCTGTAATGCTTAGGTCTCATTTTGGTGGCTGGGTTTAATGTGCAGGGGCTGGGTCATGGTGGTGATCTGTGATCTACAGGAAGTGGGACTAGTCCGTTCGGCCTTAAATTCTATGACTTCTTGTAGCCTTCAAATGTTACCTCAAGCTGTGTTTAGTAATAATCCTGGGGAGAAGTACTGGATCGGTACTGCATCTTGCTGTCACAAGTGACAGGGTACCACAGAAGTGATGCAACTCGACCTTTTGCAAGGGTTCAGAGTGAAAAACGTGACATGAAGATTCTTTATAAAATTCATGTTTGGTAGCCACATTTTATTTATGTATATATATATCTATGCACGCACACATCTAGGTGAACTTAATTCATATTCTAACCTGGAATTCATTACAAATCTGAAGACATTCCTTGTGTTTTCTAACAATTTGGCTACATATTACACGTAATCATTGGCAGATCACTTGGACAGGAAGAATGGTTTTGTTATTAAGGCACAGGGCTGGGAGTCAGAAAATCAGCATTCTGCTCTTTGTTCTGACACAGGTTTCCTTTCACAAGTTATTTCAGTACTCCAGCACATTTTTTTTCTGTACAATGGAGTCCCTGATACACTACTACAGTACTCTTCCAGAGACTTGAGGCTTGATTCACCCATATTTAGAAGGCACTTAGAAAGTTTTGGGTGGAGGCTACTATAGATTAGTAAAGCGCTGTTTATTTTCTTTATTGTTTGAGAGTAGCCTGAACTCTACATTTAAGAGCTCAGTCTTGCAAAAATGTTGTTCATTTTTACCAGTCTAAATACACAATCTTCTTGCCGATTCTTTTTGATGATGATGAAAAAACTAGTGATGTTTTGCTTACCTCTATAGGGGGAAAAAGCTGTTCAGAATGGACGTTATGAGACTGTGCAGGCTGATCCCTTCAGTTTAATTGTAAATCTCTAAAAGTGGACATGCTGTTGCATAGAATATGATCGCTTACATAGCACTAGCATAGCAATGTAGCTCATGTTACGTGGATTGGAAACTGGTTAACTGACCAATCACAAAATAATTGTATGTGGGGAATCATCATCCAGTGGAGGTATTTTTAGCAGGTCCCGCTGAAGCTTTTGTTAGTGGCCTGGGAGAAATTTAAAATCATTGTTGGTAAAGTTTGCAGATGTTGTTCTTATTGGTCGAGTGGTAAATAATGATGGGGACTGGGTCAGTTATACAGAGTAATCTAGATTCATTGGAAAAGGGATCAATTGAAGAACACATGTTTTAGAACAGTCATATGAAGTGTTTGACCACTAGAAACAAAAAGTATAAGTCACACTTACAAGATAAAGGGTACTGTATCCTGGAATGCATTGATTCTGAAAAGTACTTATGGGTCATGGTAGATAACCAATTGAACAAGAGCTCCCAGTGATGTTCTGTAGCTTGGTAAAGATGATCCTTTGATATATAAACAGGGGAATAGCAAGTGGGAATATGGAATTGGTATTACTAGAGCCCTGCGCGGATACACAAATGTGTATCCCGATCCAATCTGCTATCCGCAAATAATTTTTGCGGATTTGCAGGGCTCAACACTGGGGGCTGGGCTGAGGCTCCCAGGCATCCCCCAGCCGGAGCCCGGTCGGGGAGAGCTGCGGGCAGCTGTAGGGAGCCCACGCAGAGTTGCGGACCCTCCGCCACCCAATGTCCCTGCCCCCCATCTCCTCCACCCAGGGCAGGTGGAGGAACCCAGATTCCCCACAGCTGCTAGCACAGCTCTCCCTGCTCCGGCGGTGGGGAGGGGGGACTCTGAGTCACGGCCCGGCCACAGTAATTGCCGGGCGGGGAGCTGTGGGGACCCACGGCGGACCGCTCCACCTGCCCTGGGCATGGGGCTCAAGCAGCCCCCCCCAACTAGTGTCCCTTTGCCGCAGTTCCTCCTAACTGCTTGCCCGGCTCTTACCGTCAGAGCCCTGCGCGGATACAAAATTTGTATTCACATCCGTGCTGTTATCCACAGAAATGGTCCACAGATATAAAGTGGATACCCATAGATTTCCATGGCTCTAGGTATTACCTCTGTATGTAGTACCAATGAGAGCATTACTAGAATGCTGTGTCCAGTCTTGATGTCCACACTTCAAAAGGGAATTGGAAAGATTGGAATGGGTTCAGACAAGCACTCCAAGAATCATTAGAGATCTGGAACCCTGCCTTAGATTGAGTTTCCTTAGTCTCTCATTGTATTTAGTTTAGCCAAAGGAAGGTCAAGAGGTGACTTGATCATTTTCTGCTGGTATGAACACGGAGAAGCAATTTTTGTTAATAGATGGCCCTTTAATCTAGCAGAAAAAGGCACATAAGGTGATCCAATGGTTGGAAGTTGGAGCTTGACAATTTTGGAGTAGAAATTGGGAGCAAATTGACCATTAGAACAGCTTATCTAGGGATGTGGTGGTTTCTCTGTTGCTTGAAATCTTTAAAACAAATTTGTATATATTTCTGAAATATATGCTCTGGCTCAACAGATGCAGATTCTGTGATCTGTGTGAGATTCTATGTGTGTGATTCTATGGTCTGGTAAGCAGAAGATCCGTCAAAATGATCAGGATGGTCTCTTCTGGCCTTAAACTGAGTAGTGGACATAGATATGTATAAAATTATTAGTGAATTAATTGTCCCTTAAAATAAGTCATTAAAGATCTTTGGCACTTTTTAGACCAGGGATATCAATCCTTCTGGCCAAGTTCTATTTTGTGGTAACATATTGAATCACTTTAAATCATTCGTGATTTCTATTAAATACTATTTTCTTCACTTCCTGGGTTACGCTACAGTTAAACAAATTTAATCATTTCATAGATCGTGATTCTACAATCAGATCTGTAGGGCACATGGTTGTACTCTCATGGATCTGATTACAAGGTCAGGTCCTAAAACTGTAAACTCTCCAATGATGCCTTGAATTGTGTTAGGCGCTATACACACTAATGTAGGCATTGATCCTGATTGGGGCCTCTAGGTCATTGTATTAATATAAATATTATGTTAAAATCAACAACTTGAATTCATTAGTTTGGTGGTTGTGTTTTCTTGCAGGCAAAAATTCACGTGAGCTCTCAGCAGAAGTTGCGGTATGGCTGGTTGGCTTATATGCTGGGAGAGAGATCTACTAAAAAGTTCAATAAATACAGCAAAATCTTTACTGTGGATGGCAATTTATCTTCTGGGAAGGGCAAACTTGCACAACAAATAGCAGAAAAGCTAGGTATGGCTGATTCTTTTTCTGTCCTCTATAATATTTTATGGAACATAACACATTATTGCAATCCTTGTACAAGCAAAGGCACTGATTCATCAAGTATCAGTGATTTGGGGTGGCTCAAATAGTTCTTTGCTGCCATAGTTAATGTAGTGGTTTGACTAGCAACGAGAATACCAAATATATAGCAAACTGGGATTTCTGGATGTCACGTTTTCCAAATGTGTGGGCAGTTGTAGGGGTGTTGATGGAAGAAATCCTGACCCTAATGAAGTTAGTGGGAGTTTTCTCAGTAGGTTGTCCTAGGTTACACTGCAGTAAAAATGTTCTTGCAGCAACAGAGTGGGGTTATAAGAACTTTGGAGAGGGAAGTGGCTGCTCAGAACAACAGTTTAGAGGCCATTTTGAAGAAGGAAGAAGAAATTGAAAGATATAGTTTTTAACTTGGTTGTGCATCTCTAATCATGATGGCATGGTGAAATTCATTGGAGAACATTGTGTAGTAATATTTTGCTCAGAACTTGTGGAGATGAGTTATGCATGCTTGTAAATAAAATAAACTACAGTTTTAAAAATAACTAAAATGAATAGGAAATGTCCAGTTTAAACCAAACAATTTTATGATCTTGATTCCTCTTTGTCTCAGGTATGCAGTATTTCCCAGAAGCAGATGTCCATTATTTGGACAGGGTCACAGGAGATGGAACACTACTTGATGAGAAATTTAATGGCCATTGTAGTCTAGAGAAATTTTACAATGATCCTAAATGTCCTGATGGAAATTCATATCGCCTACAAGCCTGGTTGTACAGTAACCGTGTTTTACAGTATTCTGACGCACTGGAGCTCCTCCTGTCTACAGGTTAAGTTTGGTTTCAAAATTAATTGGTGAATTTGGGTTCTAGAGTTGTTAAAATGATTGAGCTGCCTTTAACAGTTTGGCTACCCCCCATAGCTGTATTTTAAAATATAAAATCTCGTTATTCCATTAGTTTTTTGAATAGTCCTTTTTATAAAGTAGTGTTCAAAAATGAGAAACCTTCCGAATTATTAAAAAACAAAATAACAGTTCTATTGTTAATGTATATTCTGAATAATGTTTTTCTATGTTGTTTTTGATTATACCTGTCTAAAAGGCATCACACTGTGATGGTGAGCTTCATTAGTTCTTTCAGAGGGAGGGCAGAGTTACATTGGTAATCTGTCAGGTCAGCTTGGCAGAATTTTCCAGAGGAAACTGCACTTAGAAATGTTAATGTGGCTTTTTGAATATAATAATTAAGGTGGCACAGTTAAAATCAAAGTCGAAAAATACATAACTCAAATTGTATAGTCATCTTGCAGGATAAAAATGCACATTGCCTTGTAAGGCCCCATACCTGTGGCCACTCTGTGACTAAGCAGAATTGATCTGGAAGCTTAGGGGGCAAAAAAAGTGATTTTTCTAACATCCAGTCCTGCAAGCTTGACCTGGAACCTGAAAGTTAAGCTGTGGTGTTTCTGGCTCACACATCAGCAAGAATACAGATTCTGTCTCCCTTTTCAGTAGCTGTATCAGATTTGCCTCATTAACATAGATAAAAATTAACAATCTTACTGTAATCAGTGTAAAGTAAGCGAATGAAAGGAATGGATTGGTTAGGTAAGAAGTTGCTATTTCTATAGCCACTTTTTTACCCTAACTATACTTTAAGGTTCCAGCAGCAGCATTAACTCAGCCATCTTTCACCTGCTAAATACATGTATCTAAGTGCCCTTTGCGTATTTGAGATACGAGAGCACTTTCCTATAAGGAGGAACAATAATATCCTTGCCTTCACTTTAACAAACTGCATTTCAGATGGGGGTCTCCTCATGATGTATTGCTTATTGCATCACTGGAAGGCATTTGGATATCATGGTGATAGGTGTGGTATAAAAACCTTAATAGAATCGATCAATACGTATGTTCAGTAGTGTTAGAGATGTATGTTCGTTTGAACTATGCCTGGTATTATGTTGAGGGGTGAAATCTTTACTCTTTTGGTATGTTAACTTGGTTAGAGAAGAGTGTGTTCCAAGATGATGTAATCACAAGAGCCTGACTGTTGCTTATTATCTAATAGATATGACTTGACATGTTGTTGCAGCGTAGTTTTATTGAGCCTTTCATGATTAGAACCTGTTTGTAATCATAGGACAAGGTGTAGTGATGGAACGCTCCGTCTACAGCGACTTTGTGTTCATGGAGGCGATGTTTCAACAAGGCTATATCCACAAAAGATGTAAGTTCCTATCTGCAAAAAGAAACTTAATTTGTAACACTGTCTGTGAGGAATATGGTGGCCATGTAAACAGATGGAAAGGCAGCAAGTCTGAATCCTTAATGTCTGAAGGTGTCATTTAGCCAGTGGGCCATGCTACTGACCTGTACGCCAAGGAACTCTCTAGCTGCAGGATTCCAGTCCCTTTTGTTCAGTGCTTCAGTTTTATTTCTTTAACATTAAAATGGTTGAACACAAGTTCTTCCTATCAATTATGTTCTTTTCCCTGATTCGGGAACATCTGCAGAAGCTCTCCTGTTCCTTGCAACTCTCCCCCTAATTGTGCTTTTGCTGCCTCTTATGAGGACCAGGTGATCTTCAAGCTATTTACCTGATCTCTGGCCACATAACACCAGCTGGGAGACAGCTGATTCGAGCTATGCCCAATTCCACTTAAAGGGCAAGCCATCTTGTGAGAGTGTTTAAAGGTATTCTTAACAAATCAAATGAAGTTGCTTCTACAGTCTTTTAATGATTACCCAAGCCTCTTAATCTGTGGTGTGATGTTCTTCTATGTTTCCTTTCACACTTCTTATCACAACATCTGAGTGCATATAGGGGACAATTCTGCTGTGGTTATTCCCTTAGTCTTGCCTGGATTCAGTGATACCCTACTTTTTTTTTCTTTCATGAAATCATAACCTATTGCTATGGAAATAGTCCCTGAGTAAATCTGAAAGGGAAAGGGGTAGATTAGGAGAAAGAGCTAACTTGGTGATCAGCAGGCAGGAGAAAGATACAATGCAATATTATTAAATCCACACTGTCGCACAGCTGGGAATAAAACTCAGGAGTTTCTGGCTCCCAGCTCTCTGCTCAGTGCACTTGACCATGCTGCATTTGGTGCCTGCCTTCCCTGCTCCTGATGGAATTATTGAGATGCTTCAACTCAGAAGTTGAACTAACAAGAAGAATTTTTGCTATAAAATGGGGGATTTATCAGTTGGAAGTGACAGAAGAGGAGAGAGACCTGGATGTAGTGGTTGATCACAGGGTGACTATGAGCCACCAATGTGATTCAGCTGTGAAAAAGGCTAATGCAGTGCTAGGATGCATCAGGTGTGCTATTATGAGTAGAGACAGGGAACTTTCAGTAATGTTATACAAGACACTAGTGAGACTTCAGCTGGAATATTGTGTGTAAGAAAGATGAATTCAGACTGGAACAGGTACAGAAAAGGCTACTAGGATGATCTGAGGACTGGAAAACCTGCCTTATTAGAGGAGACTTAGAGCTTGGTTTGTTTAGCCTAATCAAACGAAGGCTGAGGGGAGATATGATTGCTCTCTGTAAATACATCAGAGGGATAAAAACTAGGGAGGGAGAGGAGTTATTTAAGTTAAGCACCAATGTGGACGCAAGAACAAATGGCTATAAACTGGCCATTAACAAGTTTAGTCTTGAAATTAGATGGTTTCTCAACATCAGAGGAGTCAAGTTCTGGAACAGCCTTTCAAGGGGAGCAGTGAGGGCAAAAAACCTAACTGGTGTCAAGACTGAGTTTGATCAGTGTATGGAGGGAATGGTATGATGAAACTGCATACATGCTCATTGTAGGCAATCTGTGACTGCTAACAGTAAATATCTCCAGCGGCTGGTGATGGGACACTAGATGGGGAGGGCTCTGAGTTACTACAGAGAATTCTTTCCCAGATGTGTGTGGTGGGTTTATCCCACATGCTCAGGGTCTAACTGATTGCCATGTTTTGGGTCGGGAAGGAATTTTCCCCTGGGTCAGATTGGCAGAGACCCTGAGGGGTTTTCGCCTTCCTATGGAGCATGGGTCACTTGGAGGTAATGTAAATGGTGAATTCTCTGTCACTTGAAGTCTTTAAATCATGATTTGAGGACTTCAGTAACTCAGCCAGAGGTTAGGGGTCTATTACTGGAGTGGGTGGGTGAGGTTCCGTGGCCTACAATGTGCAGGAGGTCAGACTAGATGATCATGATGGTCCCTTCTGGTTTTCAAGTTTGTTTGAGTCTATGAGGAGTGAGGCAGCTTCTTGAGCCATGTAGGAGTATTTCCTACTAGCTGAGAATGGTCCTTAGAAGCTCCAAGGCGGAGCTCCTGGGCTACTGAAAGATTCAGAAGTCTGTAGAAATGACTCTGAAATGAAGCATCAAACCTTCCCCAAAATCAGTTCTTATTGCATGGTTGTTTTTATCAAGTACAGTTTGGAATTTGTTTAAACCAGTGTGGAATTTGTTTCTGAAGTGATGTTTCAGAAAGTGAAAACCCCTTGTCTGTCTTACCCTGTATGTTTCAAATGTCTTGTCTCATTCATGTCGGATTTAGTTAAAAACAAAATCACTTGTTGCAAGAGACCACTGTCATATTGTGGGATGCCATCATATCATAGACTAGTGCCATCATAGAATATCAGGGTTGGAAGGGACCTCAGGAGATCATCTTGTCCAACCCCCTGCTCAAAGCAGGACCAATCCTCAATTTTTGCCCCCAATCCCTAAATGGCCCCCTCAAGGATTGAACTCACAATCCTGGGTTTAGCAGGCCAATGCTCAAACCACTGAGCTATCTGCAGTCCAGACCAGTGCAGAGTTGTCACCTCTTACCTGTAATGTTGAGTGCCTCACAATATTTTGCTATCATAGTTCTCGTGCGTGCAGGTCACACCCCAAAGTGTTTGTGTACTAGACCAGAGGTGCTCAAACAGGGAGGCACGGAATGTATTCTGGTGTGTGTGTGTGTGTGTGTGTGTGTGAGTGTGAGAAACTTTCGAGGGGGGGAAACTTACTGTGAATGTTTTACCCACAGCAATGAATAACTCTTCAAGTTTGAGGGGGACAGAGCATCCATCGTAGACCCTGGCAGCTGTTCAATATGCCGCCTTTACTTCTGCACTGCTGCTGGTGGCAGCACTGCCTTCAGAGTTGGGTGTCTGGCCAGCAGCAGCTACTCTTTGGCCATCCAGCTCTGAAGGCAGAGTGGAGAGTGGTATTGATATGGTATTGCCACCCTTCTGCTCCGCTGCTGGCGGTGGCACTGCCTTCAGAGCTGGGTGCCCAGCCAGCAGCCACCGCTCTCTCGCCGCCCACCTCTGAAGGAAGCACAGAAGTAAGGGTGGCAACAAGTGACCCCCCACAATAGGCTGGCAATCCCCTTTTTGGTCAGGAACCCGTTTGAGAAACGCTGCTCTATATACTTCAATAGCTGTGTTTGAATCAGTGCCTTACTGTTTTTCATATTTAGTGAGAGTTGAAAGACCCATCTTTCTCAGCTTGTAAGAGCTATATTTCCTTGTATCTGTCTAGTGATGGATGCCAAAGATGGCTTCAGTCCTTGCTTATATCACCAAACATTCAATGACTTTGTTTCAAGAGGCATGATAATACTCAGGGTTCTTTTCCCATCCGATGAAGTGAGCTGTAGCTCACGAAAGCTTATGCTCAAATAAATTTGTTAGTCTCTAAGGTGCCACAAGTCCTCCTTTTCTTTTTCCCATCCTATGAGTGTCCTATCCCCCTGCTGATCTCTATATAAATGCAGCTTCCATTGTTTCTGGGCAGACCTGACTTAATTTAAATAGCTGTAACATTCCCTCCTGTCCGGGTGGGAACTGTTGCTTCCTTTGTTGTCCGGGTGGGAACTGTTGCTTCCTTTGTTCAACCAATGCTTTAAAACATAATATTAATGAGTATCTATAATTCCTTCTGTAGTGTTAATATATAAATTTAACAGCCCTGGTCTACACTACGGGGTTAGGTCAAATTTAGCCGCATTAGGTCGATTTTAAAAATGGCTGCGTCCATACAACCAACCCCGTTCCGTCGACCTAAAAGGATCTTAAAATCGACTCCTGTACTCCTCCCTGATGAGGGGAGTAGAAATAAAATCAACCTTGCTGGGTCGAACTTGGGGTAGTGCAGACACAAATCGACGGTATTGGCCTCCAGGAGCTATCCCAGAGTGCTCCATTGTGACCACCCTGGACAGCACTTTGAACTCCGATGCACTAACCAGGCACACAGGAAAAGCCCCGGGAACTTTTGAATTTAATTTCCTGTTTGGTCAGTGTGGCGAACTCAGCAGCACAGGTGACCATGCAGTCCCCCCAGAATCGTAGAATGTTTCTACACTCCCCCCATCATCTCCATCCCTGAGGTTATCGCAGATTAGAAGGTGAAAAAAACCGCATTCAAGATGACATGTTTTCCGAGCTCATGCAGTCCTCCCGCACTGATAGGGCACAGCTTAATGCATGGAGGCATTCAGTGGCAGAGGCCAGGAAAGAATTAAGTGAGCGCGAAGAGCGGAGGCAGGATGCGATGCTGACGCTAATGGGGAAGCAAACGGACGTGATGAAGCGTCTGTTGGGGGAGCAAATGGACATGAAGTGTCTGTTGGAGCTGCAGGAAAGCCAACAAGAGCACAGACCCTCACTGCATCAACTGTATAACTGCCTACCCTCCTCCCCATGTTCCATAGCCTCCTCACCCAGACGCCCAAGAACGTGGGGGGTGGAGGCTCTGGGCACCCAGCCACGCCACTCCACTCCAGAGGATGGCCCAAGCAACAGATGGCTTTCATTCAAAAAGTTTGATTTTCAGTGTGGCTACAGTAAGCAATGTGGCCTTGTCCTCCCCTCCTTCCAAGCCCCACCTGGGCTACCTTGTCCATTATCTCTTCTTTTTTTTTAAGTAATAAAGAGAGAATGCATGGTTTCAAAACAATAGTTTCTTTATTTCGAAGCGGGGAGGGTGGTTGGCTTACAGGGAATTAAAATCAACAAAGGGGGCGGGTTTGTATCAAGGAGAAACACACAAACTGTCACACCGAAGCCTGGCCCGTCATGAAACTGGTTTTCAACGTCTCTCTGATGTGCAGTGCACCTTGCTGTGCTCTTCTAATCCCCCTGTGTCTGGCTGCGCGTATTCAGCAGGCAGGCGAATTGCCTCAACCTCCCACCCCGCCATAAACATTTCCCCCTTACTCTCACAGATATTATGGAGCACACAGCAAGCAGCAATAACAATGGGAATGTTGATTGTGCTCAGATCTGACCATCAGCGCCAGCGAGCTTTAAACGTCCAAAGGCACTTTCTACCACCATTCTGCACTTGCTCAGCCTACAGTTGAACTGCTCCTTACTACTGTCCAGGCTTCATGAGCCATGGGAGCAAGGGGTAGGCTGGGGTAGGTGCGACTGCTCGGTGCTGCTAGCTGGGAGAGCAACCTGAGGCAGAAGCCTCCAGCTCGCAGGAGAGTAGAGTTACAGCGGAAGCGATGGAGCCATACACCATGCCCTGGAGGTTGCTAGGAGCCGGGCAGGGAAGACGTTCCCAGAACCCCCGGTCAAGCTACATAGAATCATAGAATATAAGGGTTGGAAGGGACCCCAGAAGGTCATCTAGTCCAACCCCCTGCTCGAAGCAGGACCAATTCCAGTTAAATCATCCCAGCCAGGGCTTTGTCAAGCCTGACCTTAAAAACCTCTAAGGAAGGAGATTTTACCAGTCCAACGAGGATGGCTACCAGTCCTACTGCACCGTCTGTTGCAGGAGAGCAGAGTTCCAGCGGAAGCGGTGGAGCCATACACCATGGACGAGGACGGCTAGCAGTCCTACTGCACCGTCTGCTGCGAAGGCACCCAGGAGCTGCTGCTGTGTAGCAATGCCAGCTGCTGCAGGTGTTTCTGTGTCGAATGCTTGGAGGTCCTGGAAGGGCAAGGTACCTCGGACAAGGCAAAAGAGCAAGAGTCCTGGAGCCGTTACATGTGTCAACCACAGAAGTGCTATGTGGTGTTACAGCGCTGACTGGACTGGAATGTATGGCTGCAAGACATCTTCACCAGTGACAAAGGACAGGAATATGATGCACCTACAATCTAAAAAGGCCCACACATTTCCCAGAGTCATTACCCTTGATAACAGAACGTCAATGATTGCATTGGCTACTTGGATCACAGCAGCCCCCCACAGTAGACTTGCCCACAACAGCAGCGGTGACGGTGAGCTGAGTGAGCTCCATGCTTGCTGTGGTATGGCATCTGCATGGGTAAACCAGGAAAAAAGGTATGAAACAATTGTCTGCTGTTGCTTTCATGGAGGGAGGGGGTGACTGACTACATGTACCCAAAACCACCCGTGACAATGTTTTTGCCCCATCAGGCATTGGGAGCTTAACCTAGAATTCCAGTGGGTGACACAGACTGCGGGAACTGTGGGATAGCTACCAACAGTGCACCGCTCTGTAAGTCAATGCTAGCCACAGTAGTGAGGATGCACTCCGCCGACTTAATGCGCTTAGTGTGGACATATGCAATCGACTGTATAAAATCGAATTCTAAAAATCGGCTGCTTTAAAATCGACCTAATTTCATAGTGTAGACATACCCACAGTGATATTAATCACTAGTGTGGCATTTGCTTTGAGAGAAAACCTCACTTTGTACACTTACACTACAGTAATGTTGCATGCGATCAGTTGACTTAGTTGCTTACCACTTGAGATTCAGCCCCCCGTCTTTATAGACCAGTAAATCTTTGAAATGACTTCTTTGAGACCAAGCTTCTCTCTCCTGCTGGGTGTAGATGCCATGTTGTCTTCTCCCCCACTTGCTAGTGTGAAGTTTGCTTCCATCCCTCATTAGTTTGATGTCTGTTTGCTGCTTATACGTAAAATTGAGGAGGAACACATGTTCCTTTGCTTAGGATTGACCCGTTTAACAACTCCCCTTACATACCTGTCTTTAAAATATTTTAGTTATCATTCCTGCATGTGTCCATATCTCTTAATACCCACCATGTACATACATGATACAAAATGGTAATACACAAGGCATATTATGTACAAAGATTATTACAATAGCGTGTAGGGTGTGAATAAAGTGGTGCTTAGTGTCACAACCATAGAGGAGAAATTTCATGCTGAATGGATTTGTTTGGAGAAATTTTGTGAAGAAGGATGTGTGTCAAAATAAGGCTTATAATAGAAAGTTAGTTACAACCCACTGTGTTGCTCTAATGACTCATGTTGATCATGCTCAGGAGCTTAGAACAATAATATCTTGTTTAGGAACACACCCTTGTGCATAAATCTTCTTTTATAGGAAGCAACTAATCTGTTATGAAACATCCAGCAATACTGATCTCCTTAAACAAGAAATACTGTACTAACCATAAATATGGACATCCCAGTAAAGACAGGTATCAATGGTGCTAAAGATCAACTTGCAAAACTGGAAATATCTCCAACTATTTGGTTTAGAACACAATAAAATATATGTAGCCAAATTCACCCTTAATTTCCACTGACTTTATTAGAACGGCACTAAAGATGAATTTAATGGAGGCATTCTGGGCTACAGTTGAAAAATCTACTACAGAAGAAAAGAAAAGGAGTACTTGTGGCACCTTAGAGACTAACCAATCTGATGAAGTGAGCTGTAGCTCACGAAAGCTCATGCTCAAATAAATTGGTTAGTCTCTAAGGTGCCACAAGTACTCCTTTCCTTTTTGCAAATACAGACTAACACGGCTGTTCCTCTGAAACCTGTACAGAAGAAAAGATTGGCATAGAAATCTGTTCATGGATGGTTATTTCTGGTTGTGCCCAAAGACCTCGGTCATGGTTTAAGCGAAGGGAGAGGGTCCCAGAGCCCAGACTCCAGCCCGAGCCTGAACGTCTGCAGTGCAGTTAAACAGTGCTGTAGCCTGAGCCCCATAAGCCCGAGTCAGCTGACCCAGGCCAGCCGCGGGTGTTTAACTGCAGTGTACACATACCCAGAGGGTCTTTCTTTACTGCAGGCTGAATCTGGGTTTTAACTAGTCATCCTCCACCCAACCATCCACACAGGAAAAAAAACAGGTTTGGAGGTGCTTTAAGCCCAGGCTAATTTACTTGACTGTGGCTGTGCGTTAGAGCCCAGGTTCCACTTTAACTCTGGCTGGAATCCACCAATTTTGCTGTGAGGATGCAGGCAAGATCATTCAAGTGTAGATAGTTCTCCCGTGCCTTCCAACAGTTCTTTGCAAAGTACAGATTCTCCCACAATGGCCTGGGGAAGAACCCTAAAGCTTCTCTGCACAAAGAACCCTGGGCTATGCCCCTAGACCTGCAAGGGCAAGTGTAGAAAGTCTGAGGGTATAGTATGGCTTCATTGTGGGAATGCTTACACCTGGACTAAGCTAGATCAGGTGCTTAACCTGGGTAATCACCACCTGGTCTAACTTCTTTCCCAATGGGAGAGCACAGAGCTGTTGGGAAAGTAGCAGTAGAGCAGCAGTTCTCAACCCGCTGCCCGTGGACTGCATGCCGCCCAATTAGCTCAAAGTTGTGGCCCAGCTCAGGTGTGTGCTGAAGGCCGGCCCGCGTGCTGGGGTCCGCCAGGTTCCCGGCTGCCTGGCGCAGAGTGGGCCGGGCTGTCCCACTGCCCAGCACAGCTGGGTTGGGGTTGAGGCAGCTGCCCGGCCCTGCAAGCTCCAGGGTCCAGGGTAGCCAGCTGTCCTCTGTGGCCTGAGTAACAAATTGTGGGCTGCATCTGCAGCCAACAATGTGTAATAAGTTGAGAACCACTGCAGTAGAGAGTCGGGGCTCCACGGACTGTAGTGGGAGGGAACACTGAGCTTACAGCTCAGTGCACTCAGATGTTGGGCACCCTGACAACATTTCCCTTCCTCCGAGACGTCCCTGTTGGCGGGGGGGGGAGGTGTGTTGTGGGAGGGCAGATGTGCCTCTCACGCTTCCCCTCAGATTTCTTTAAGATGGGATAGGATGGGGTTTTTGTGAAGTGACGTGACGTGGTTATTCCTCCGTTTCTTCCCTAGACTCCCTAAACCCACTTTGCCCCGCTGCCATGTTGTCAGTGGGTGCAGCTTTCCTCATACTGTGGCTATTGGAAGTAGCAGCCTGCAGCCTTCAGGCAGTCTCTACAGCTGCCTCTGCCAGTGCCCTCTGCTGTTTATATAAGAATCTACCTGTGCAGGTTGGGGGAAGGGTCACCTTTCTGCAAGTTCATGAAAGGAGGGAGGGTTAGGGGGCAAAATGGCTAATGCAAAATAATTAAAGGGAACTGGGATTTGTGGCTTGTTGGGCTGAGGCACTTCCTGTTAATAACATTGACCTCAGTGAATCTGGCGACATTTAAGTCGGAAGTAAACTACCCTATAATGTTGTTTGTTGCTTATTTTCTATTTCTATAAGGCTATTTCAGCTTTAAATTTGCTAAATCCCCTTGCTTGGGATAAAAACCCAACCTGAAATGTGTATTCCAGCTGAAATCTTTGCAGAGAGGTAAGACTTCATAAACACTTCTATTGGGCAGACAGACTCTTCTGAAAATGAAATGCAGTTACAAATGCTAACAGAATCCTTTCAAGAGGCTGTGTTGATCATTTACCTGGTGGATGGGATGATGGTGATCAAAATCAAATTGTTTCTTTTCTGTATGTTCTTGAGCTTCATTACATACATGGTGAATACAGATGGTTATGTATTTCTATTTAAGGAATTCCCTGCTCTATTTTTGTTTTTTAGGTGTTGATCATTATAATGAAGTCAAGGGCATCAGTATCTGTGAATTTCTGCCACCTCATTTGGTGATCTATGTTGATGTACCAGTCTCAGAGGTACAGAAAAGGATCCAAGAGAAAGGAAAGGTAATTCTAGCTGTTAGCTTGCTTTTTTATGTTAAAATGTCATGATCAGGGCCTTGTGCATGAATCATGCGGCTGAGGAACTTGCTGCCTAGTCTGTCCCTCTGCTGCAGAATTGTGCTCCAGAATCTTAAGTGTTTTTTTTTTTAATTGTGTTTCTTCCTCTTGTGAAGAAAACCTTCAGAAATGTTCAGAGTCCCATCAGTGAGGTTCTGTCTTCCTGGCATACAATTAGAATAAAAGAATAGCAGGTTTGGAAGGGACCTCAGGAGGTCATCTAGTCTAACCCCCTGCTCAAAGCAGGACCAATCCCCAACTAAATCATCCCAGCCAGGGCTTTGTCAAGCCTGACCTTAAAAACCTCAAAGGAAGGAGATTCCACCACCTCCCTAGGTAACGCATTCCAGTGTTTCACCACTCTCCTAGTGAAAAAGTTTTTCCTAATATCCAACCTAAACCTCCCCCACTGCAACTTGAGACCATTACTCCTTGTTCTGTCCTCTGCTACCACTGAGAACAGTCTAGATCCATCCTCTTTGGAACCCCCTTTCACGTAGTTGAAAGCAGCTATCAAATCCCCCCTCATTCCTCTCTTCCGCAGACTAAACAATCCCAGTTCCCTCAGCCTCTCCTCATAAGTCATGTGTTCCAGTCCCCTGATCATTTTTGTTGCCCTCCGTTGGATGTTTTCCAATTTTTCTACATCCTTCTTGCAGTGTGGGGCCCAAAACTGGACACAGTACTCCAAATAAGGCCGCACCAGTGTCGAATAGAGGGGAATGATCACGACCCTCGATCTGCTGGCAATGCCCCTACATATACATCCCAAAATGCCATTGGCCTTCTTGGCAACAAGGGCACACTATTGACTCATATCCACTGTAACCCCTCGGTCCTTTTCTGCAGAACTACTGCCGAGCCATTCGGTCCCTAGTCTGTAGCAGTGCATGGGATTCTTCCGTCCTAAGTGCAGGACTCTGCACTTGTCCTTGTTGAACCTCATCAGATTTCTTTTGGCCCAATCCTCTAATTTGTCTAGGTCCCTCTGTATCCTATCCCTACCCTCCAGCATATCTACCTGTCCTCCCAGTTTAGTGTCATCTGCAAACTTGCTGAGGGTGCAATCCACACCATCCTCCAGATCATTTATGAAGATACTGAACAAAACCGGCCCCAGGACCGACCCTTGGGGCACTTCACTTGATACCGGCTGCCAACTAGACATGGAGCCATTGATCACTACCCGTTGAGCCCGACAATCTAGCCAACTCTGTATCCATCTCATAGTCCATTCATCCAGCCCATACTTCTTTAACTTGCTGGCAAGAATACTGTGGGAGACCGTGTCAAAAGCTTTGCTAAAGTCAAGGAACAACACGTCCACCACTTTCCCCTCACCCACAGAGCCACTTATCTCGTCATAGAAGGCAATTAGATTAGTCAGGCTTGACTTGCCCTTCATGAATCCATGCTGACTGTTCCTGATCACTTTCCTCTCCTCTAAGTGCTTCAGAATTGATTCCTTGAGGACCTGCTCCATGATTTTTCCAGGGACTGAGGTGAGGCTGACTGGCCTTTAGTTCCCAGGATCCTCCGCCTTCCCTTTTTTAAAGATGGGCACTACATTAGCCTTTTTCCAGTTGTCCGGGACTTCCCCCGATCGCCATGAGTTTTCAAACATGATGGCCAATGGCTCTGCAATCACATCCGCCAACTCCTTTAGCACTCTCGGATGCAGCGCATCTGGCCCCATGGACTTGTGCTTGTCCAGCTTTTCTAAATAGTCCCGAACCACTTCTTTCTCCACAGAGGGCTGGTCACCTCCTCCCCATGCTGTGCTGCCCAGTGCAGTAGTCTGGGAGCTGACCTTGTTCGTGAAGACAGAGGGAAAAAAAGCATTGAATACATTAGCTTTTTCCACATCCTCTGTCACTGGGTTGCCTCCCTCATTCAGTAAGGGGCCCACACTTTTCTTGACTTTCTTCTTGTTGCTAACATACCTGAAGAAACCCTTCTTGTTACTCTTAACATCTCTTGCTAGCTGCAACTCCAGGTGTGATTTGGCTTTCCTGATTTCACTCCTGCATGCCCGAGCAATATTTTTATACTCTTCCCTTGTCATTTGTCCAGTGTTCCATTTCTCGTAAGCTTCTTTTTCGTGTTTAAGGTCAGCAAGGATTTCACTGTTAAGCCAAGCTGGTCGCCTGCCATATTTAGTATTCTTTCTACACGTTGTGATGGTTTGTCCCTGTAACCTCAATAAGGATTCTTTAAAATACAGCCAGCTCTCCTGGCATGTCAGCTCTGACAGGTGAATTGCCCTGACTATCTCTGTGGGGCATTAGTGCTGCCACAGAAAGTTGACTGACTGTTAAAAATTGTGCATTGCAAACTCTTTTGGCTAGAATTAGAGCCTGGGAAAATTAGATGCCTAACTTCTATTGGAAATTGTGGCCTTCACTGCTAATCATTTTAGTACAGACATCCTACTCTGACTGGGCTTATCCCAAAAGCCTTAGCAACCTCCCCACTTAGCTGCAGCCTCCCCTTCTGACAACCCTTTGGGTGCAGTTATATATCGTCAGCATGTGGTCAGTGTAAAATGAATAAAACTTGGTATTCAGATAAATAACATGAGGGCTACTATTCTGATTGCTATTAACTTTCATCTTTGATTCAGTAAGAATCTTTTTTTATATTTAAATCAAATTGCCATAGATGTTTCCACATGCTGCAGAAACCAGAGGGCCTTGTTGCTGGTTCTTAAGTCCAGCTCATTGCAGAGCACACAGAGACTTGGCTATTATTTCAGTTATTCATTGTAACATAGAAATGATTTCTCTTCCTAGTCTGAAATTCTGGTACTTGAACTCTCTTGAGACTGGGATATTCTGTGAAACTCAAGGGTGTTCTCCCTTTTGTTTTCAAAGTCTTCTAAAAGCAGGATAGTTTCTGTGGGAGAACAGAGAGAACCTGCCTTTTGTTAACATATGGTACTGAAAGAAGAATAACAGTTTTGTTGACTGCTTTGACTTCTGGTATTCTCAAGCAACATGTTTTAAAATTACCCCTCTAAGGGTTCCAGAAATTTGGGTCAGTAACACCTTCTGAGAGCAGGAGAGTTGTGGAATGTTTTCATTTAACAGATAATCTGAGCTAGTTTCCCCCTCCCCCCCCCCCAAAATGGTATTGATCCATGTATCAGTAACTGTTCCCAGATGTGCTACAAGAGCCAAATGATGTTTACCCTGCACCTTGTTCAAAGGTTACAGGAAATTGGATCTGAGTGAGGAATTTAACCATGAGAAGTCTAATTTTTTTTTTAAAAGCCTTTTATTGAGATCTTTACAAACATTTGACCACATCTGTTTTCCAAAGCCCTTTGTGTATATGGTATATGGGAGGGCAGCTTTGGTGACAGGCTTGGAAATTGCTGTACTCGTGTCAAACAAAGTTGACCATTGTTAAGGAAAGGTGTATATGGCAGTGGAAAATAAAAAAAACACAGGCAGTTTTTTGTAACTTCACTGTGATAACATTCTGCTAAGATAGGTTTGTCACTGGCCTGAGTTGCGTTGTCTATCAGTCTTGCACTTCTTTAATATAATAAAATGCCAGACAAATATTCAAACCATGACTGAACGTTACTCTTTTGTTTAAAGAACAGGATGTTACTTTATGCAACAGTAATAATGGGCCGTTCCTTTACTAGAGGAGAGCGTCTCTCTTTAAATTAAGCTGCTTTTTTGAATGATACCTTATGAAGCACTATGAGAGGTTTCTAATTTTTATCTCCCTCTGCTCATCTTGGGGAAAACAGAACTGGTCTCCTTGACCCTGCAGTCCTTTTTATTCTGGCACAAACTGCTCCGACAATAACATTTCTCAGGGGTAGAGGCTTTGAAGGGTGAATGTATTTATTAATATATCATTGTTTGTTAGCAGCAGCCCCTGGATCTCTTCTGTCTGTTTACATTAATGGCTTGTAGTTGGCATTGACTGAACAGTAATTAGAGGCTTGGAATAGAAAATACTTCTGTCTGCTCAACTGACGGAGGAGCCTAATTCTCCAAGGTGCTGCACATCATCTCTGACATACAGGTGTGAGCATTCTGTACCTCACAGGCAGGATCAGGCTGTAAATGTGTAGGGAAAGAGCAGAACAGTTCTGCTCTTAAGGGAAGAAGGAAATCATGATGAACCGTGCACTCAGGAAATGTGATGAAAGAGCTGTATAGAGTAACTGATGCCTGCCATTGATGGGTAACCCCTTGACAGTAGAATTGCAGTCCACTTAATTTATAAGAAAAAGTTGTTTGGCTTTGTATTGAGTGCACTGTTGCTCATCTGTCTGCCTGAAAATTAGGGAGGATTATATTTGGGGTGCACGCTGTAATCATGCATGTCCTAATCAATCCTCAAGAGAAGAAATGATGGTTAGTTGGCCCATTTGGTTTAACTTGCTGAAGGGCAATCCTTTTTTCTGTTTTTTTTTAAACCAGCTGACTATACGTAACTTCCTTAAATGTGCAGGTGGGTAGGATTAGTCATTTGTTTAGAAATTAATCTGTCTGGAGCCTGTTCTTGGTTGGTAATTCTGTTTGTGTAAGCTTAGAAAAATTGAGATTCTTCCACCGTTCATCTCAGCCTGGTAGAGAAGTGTCACTTTGTGCTTTCTTCAGTAGTATTTGCCTTTTTCTGTCTTTCTAGACTCTCTTATATACCAAGGGAATCCTATTAATCCGCATCATTATTAAAGGAATTGCAAAACAAATATGTTCAACTTTATGGAGAACATACAAAAAAGTACAGTGAACAGCTATGATTCTACAGCAGCTGCAGTTTATTCTGTTTGCCACATGTAGTGTTCTATATGTTAATACAATATTCTGTAATCCCAAATACTCCATATGTTAGTCATAATTTTGAAGTCTTCATAAATGCATGTGGATGTAAATGACTGTTTGGCTGTTTAATGCAGGAGCTATGTTTCAACAGATGGTGTGGGAGTCGTGGCTTCTACTTGCGATCTCTGGAATCTGTACCAGTGTAAAAAGAAAACAAACACACACATTTCACAGTGTTTTGTTTTCTTTGTGTTTAGCCCCATGAGAAAAAGGTGTCTCCTGCATACCTCCAGAGCATTGAAGATATCTACAAGAAATCTTTCCTGCCAGAGATCAGGTTAGCAGCTTCAGCCTTTTTGTGTGACAAATATTTATGCAAAACTATTTGTGCGTGTAGAGCTAGAATCGCCACACATACACTTGATTCAAACTGCTTGTATGTAAAAATCCTCCTTGTGTTTTGTTACCATATTAAACTCTGGATGTAGTAAGTTACGCACCTACACAGTTGGATCCCTATGCTAGTGCTGAAATTTACCCTTTTGAAATTATTCATTGCAGTTACCCGTCATGTCAGGGAACATCATAGAATCTTAGGACTGGAGGGGACCTCGAGAGGTCATCTAGTCCAGTCCCCTGCACTCATGGCAGGCCTAAATGTTAACTACATCACCCCTGACAGGTGTTTGTCTAACTTGCTCTTAAAAATCTCCAGTAACGGAGATTCCACAACCTCCCTGGGCGATTTATTCCAGTGCTTTACTACCCTGACAGTAAGGGCTTGTCTATACTGGTACTTTACAGCGCTGCAACTTCCTTGCTCAGGGGTGTGAAACCACCCCCCCACCCCTCCCGCGCTGCAAGTTTCAGCGCTATAAAGTGCCGCACTTCCAGTGCTGGTAGCTACTCCCCTCGTGGAGGTGGGGTTTTTTACAGAAGCCACGTTAAACTTTTTTCTGAGTTTCAGATCACTGAAGATCTCATGGTCTCTTGCCATACTTCCTATCTTTCCTACGCAGTGGGATAGTTTGCTCTTGTGCCCTTAATAATGTCTCTTTGAAAAACTGCCAACTCTATTGAACTGTTTTTCCCCTTAGACTTGTTTCAATGGGCTTAAGAAAGATAAAAGATTTTATTTGAACTTTTAGGTTTCAATAGCTTTCTTAAAAGCATAAAATTATTTTTGGGGGGCGGAGTAGTTGCTAATGGTCACTTGGATTGTATCTCAACTGGATTTCAAGACTGAACTCAAATTTCTATGTGGCAGAAACATTGAATATATTACAAGGTTTATGGACCCAAATCCGTAATTCAGTGCCTTTTGTCCTAGTATCTCCGAGCACATTATAAACAGCCTCACAACTCCACAGTCAGGTGGGGAAGTACTATCGCATTTTACAGAAGGGTGCACAATAGTGCAAAGAGTTTCTGGCTTGCTCACAACCACACAGTGAGTCAGGGATAAAGCAAGTAATAAATCCCAGGATCGGAGATTGCTGTCCCCTTTACACCAACTATGAGAGATTCATATATATTAAGGTCAGAAGGGACCATTATGATCATCTAGTCCGACCTCCTGCACAATGCAGGCTACAGAATCTCACCCATCCACTCCTGCAATAAACCTCTCACCTATGTCTGAGCTATTGAAGTCTTTAAACCGTGATTTGAGGACTTCAAGGAGCAGAGAATCCTCTAGCAAGTGACCCATGCTTCAGAGGAAGGTGAAAAACCTCCAGGGCCTCTTCCAATCTGCCCTGGAGGAAAATTCCTTCCCGACCCCAAATATGGCAATCAGCTGAACCCCGAGCATATGGGCAAGATTCACCAGCCAGATACCCAGGAAAGAATTTTCTGTAGTAACTCAGATCCCACCCCATCTAACATCCCATCACAGGGTATTGGGCCTATTTACCATGAATAGTTAACATGATTTTGGCAATTAATTGATCTTTATCCCATCATACCATCTCCTCCATAAACTTATCGAGTTTAATCTTAAAGCCAGATAGGTCTTTTGTCCCCACTGCTTCCCTTGGAAGGCTATTCCAAAACTTCACTCCTCTGATGGTTAGAAACCTTTGTCTAATTTCGAGTCTAAACTTCCCGATGACCAGTTTATATCCATTTGTTCTTGTGTCACCATTGGTACTGAGCTTAAAAAATTCCTCTCCCTCTCCGGTATTTATCCCTCTGATATATTTATAGAGAGCAATCATTATCTCTTCTCAACCTTCTTTTGGTTAGGCTAAACAAGTCAAGCTCCTTGAGTCTCCTTTCATAAGACAGGTTTTCCATTCCTCGAATCATCCTAGTAGCCCTTCTCTGTACCTGTTCCAGATTGAATTCATCCTTCTTAAACATGGGAGACCAGAACTGCACACAGAATTCCAGGTGAGGTCTCACCAGTGCCTTGTATAACGGTACTAAAACTTCCTTATCTCTACTGGAAATACCTCGCCAAATGCATCCCAAGACCACATTAGCTTTTTTCACAGCCATATCACATTGGCAGCTCATAGTCATCCTGTGGTCAACCAATACTCCAAGGTCGTCCTCCTCTTCCATGACTTCTAATTGATGCGTCCCCAGCTTATAACTAAAATTCTTGTTGTTAACCCCTAAATGCATGACCTTACACTTCTCACTATTAAATTTCATCCTACTACTCCAGTTTACAAGGTCATCCAGATCTTCCTGTATGATATCCCTGTCTCTCTCTAAATTGGTAATACCTCCCAGCTTTGTATCATCTGCAAACTTTATTAGCACACAAACTTTGTGCCGAGGTCAGTAATAAAAAGATTGGTCCCAAAACCAATCCCTGAGGAACTCCATTGGTAACTTCCCTCCAGCCTGACAGTTCACCTTTCAGAATGACCTGCTGTAGTCTCCCTGTTAACCAATTCCTTATCCACCTTTCAATTTTCATATTGATCCCCATCTTTTCCAGTTTAACTAACCGTTCCCCATGTGGCACAGTATCAAACACCTTACTGAAATCTAGGTAAATTAGATCCACTGAGTTTCCTTTGTCTAAAAAAATCTGTTACTTTCTCAAAGAAGGAGATCAGGTTGGTTTGGCACGATCTACCTTTTGTAAAACCATGTTGTATTTTGTCCCATTTGCCATTGACCTCAATGTCCTTCAAATTTTTTTCCAAGACCTTGTATACTACAGATGTCAAACTAACAGGCCTGTAGTTACCCGGATCACTTTGTTTTCCTTTCTTAAAAATAGGAACTATATTAGCAATTCTCCAATCATACTGTAGAACCCCTGAGTTTACAGATTCTTTACAAATTTTTGCTAATGGGCTCGCAATTTCATGTGCCAATTTCTTTAATATTCTTGGATGAATTATCTGGACCCCCCGATTTAGTCCCATTAAACTGTTCGAGTTTTGCTTCTACCTCAGATATGGTAATATCTACCTCCATATCCTCATTCCCATTTGTCATGCTGCCATTATCCCTAAGATCCTCATTAGCCTTATTAAAGACTGAGACAAAGTATTTGTTTAGATATTGGGCCATGCCTAGATTATCCTTAACCTCCACTCCATCCTCAGTGTTTAGCGGTCCCACTTCTTCTTTCTTTGTTTTCTTCTTATTTATATGGCTATAGAACCTTTTACTATTGGTTTTAATTCCCTTTGCAAGGTTCAACTCTACTTGACTTTTAGCCTGTCTCACTTTATCCCTACATGTTCTGACCTCAATAAGGTAGCTTTCCTTGCTGATCCCTCCCATCTTCCACTCCCTGTACGCTTTCTGCTTTTTCTTAATCACCTCTCTGAGATGCTTGGTCTACAACTCCTGCCTATGAATTTGTTCCCCTTTCTTGGGATGCAGGCTTCCGATAGCTTCTGCAGCTTTGATTTAAAGTAATCCCAGGCCTCCTCTGCCTTTAGATCCATAAATTCTTCAGTCCAATCTACTTCTCTAACTAATTTCTTTAATTTTTGAAAGTCAGCCCTTTTGAAATCAAAAACCCTAGTTGCAGATTTATTTTTGTTTATCCTTCCATTCACTTTGAACTGAATTAGCTCATGATCACTTGAACCAAGATTATCCCCTACAACCATTTCTTCTATGAGGTCCTCACTACTCACCAAAACCAAATCTAAAATGGCATTCCCTCTAGTCGGTTCAGCAACGACTTGATGAAGGAATCCATCAGCTATCGCATCTAGGAAAATTTTAGCCTTATTATTATTACTAGCACTCGTCCTCCAGTCTATATCTGGGAAGTTAAAGTCTCCCATGATCACGCAGTTTCCATTAGTATTTACTTCATTAAAAACATTGAAAAGGGCTCTATCCATATCCAAATTAGATCCCGGCGGTCTATAGCACACCCCAAGCACTATCCCAGGGGAGGCTCTAGTAGTTTTCTTCCCCAATGTATTTTTGCTCAGACGGACTCTGTCTTATCCATTCCATCGCTTCTTATTTCTTTACATTCTACCTCATTCTCGATATACAATGCTACTCCACCACCTTTACCTTTATTCTGTCTTTCCTAAGCAGCATATACCCTTCAATACTTGTAGTCCAGTCATGACGACTATTCCACCATGTTTCTGTTATCCCTATAATATCTGGTTTCACTTCCTGCACCAGTAGCTCTAGTTCCTCCATTTTGTTACCTAGGCTCCTCGCATTGGTGTACAAACATCTTAATTTTTGCTGTTTGGCCTCGCTCGCATTCTGTACCCGATTAGACACAGTCATTCTACAGCCAGTATGACCTATTGGACTGGTATCCACACTGCCCTTCCTCCTTATGTCCATTCTCCTACCCACGGCTGTATCCTTTCTTGCTTTGTTTTCTTCCCTCTCAATGCTAAAATCCGGCACGGAGATCACCTGGACGTCTCCCAGCCATCTCCCCCAAATTCCTAGTTTAAAGCTCTCTTAATCAGTTGTGCCAGCCTCCATCCTAGAAGTCTATTTCCTTCCCTACTCAGATGAAGTCCATCCCGAGAGAACTGTCCTCCGTCCATGAATGCCTCCCAGTGGCCATACATCCCAAAGCCCTCCTTATAGCACCACTGCCTAAGCCATCTGTTGATAGTCATAATCTTGTCCACACCTTTGTTGCCCTTCTCTAGGAACAGGCAATCCCACTAAAGATCACCTGAGCCTCGATCTCCTTAAGCGTCTTCCCCAGCCTAGCATAGTCTCCCTTGATACGTTCCGGTGAGAATCTACCGGTATCATTTGTTCCCACATGAAGGATAATTAGGGGGTTCTTTCCCGCTCCCTTTAGGATCCTTTTCAATCTCAGTTCTACATCCTGTATCTTAGCACCTGGAAGACAGCACACTGTTGCCAGCACCCAGTGCCTAGAGGCAAAACAACAGCAGGGGTTCGTTACCCGGTGTGTTTCACTCAATAATCACAACGGGGTGGAGAAGCAGAAAAGTTTATTTGCAGCTGCAAACAAGGTACAGGGAGAATAGAATCTCAAATCCTGCACGCCAGAGCAGGTCATTACACACACTTTTATATTCCTTAATGCTACTGCACTACACATCAGCCAATTAAAACTTTGCACAAATACTCTGCCTTCCTTATATGGGTTACAACAATGTTTATTTCCTGCAACCTCTAACAAGCATTCCTAGCAACTTAAACAACCAGCACATTCTGTCTGGCCTTGTAACTATCTCCTATTATTTTTAGCTTGGCGTCAGCAAACCTTACACTATGAGGCATTATCTGCGGCTGCAACATTGTTTTAAGAGCAAAAGAGCTTACTCAAACCAGCCAGGCCTGAATTCTATTAAGGGGGGTTGAGAAGAAGCCCTTAGGCCTTCAGCAGGGAGACTTCCTCGACCCTTATGGCCTTCCATCCCTTCGACTTAACTAGTGGCCATGTCCTGGGGTCTCCAACAACACCCTTCTATTCTCTGGATCAGCTCTGGTTACAGGCCTGTCTATTCTTCTCAGTAAAGAGTCCCCGATCATGTAGACCTGCCTTTTCCTGGTGACGGTGCTATTCTCCAGTCTATCCCCTGTTCCCTCTGGTTGCAAGTTCTTTCTATTCCTATTCTCCCTTGAAATCCTCTTCAACCCATCCTGTATCCTCCTGGGGCTCATATTTGGTGTAGTCTTCATTAACTCTTCCCCTTTTCCTATAGGACTAGCCGCTCTTCTTTTTCCTTGCCCTTCCACCTTCAGTGACCACATGCTGAGCCCCTTCTTCATTTTCCAACTCTGCAAACCTATTCTTGAGCTCTGTTTCTCCTTTCCTCTCTTCTGGTGATGTACCGTGGGCGTTTGGCATTAGCATCCTGGCTGCTTATCCAGTTGACAAGATATTGTGGACAACTTATAGAGATGAAGAGAGCACTTTCCTAGAGTGGGGTCTAGTGGCTTTAGCTCTTTATTGTTGTGTGTGTTTGTGGGGGAGAGGGCATTGCAAGATGAGGAGGAGCAGAGGTTTCCTAATATGATCACCTGTCCGATTTTGTTTGGAGAGAATACTTGCTCCCCCCCCCCCCCCCCCCCCCCAGAATGTTCTCATGTGGTAGCTCTGTAATAGCAACTGATGATAAAAAAAAAAAAAAAAATTGCGGGGGATTTTCACATCCTTTTCTTGCTTTAACTCTCTAGCCTCGTATCCCATGCGGCAACCACTTTCTGAGCATACTTCTGTGGCCAGAAAGGACTCCTTAGTTGATTTTGTGGAGCTTCTGTTAAATGACACTTACTCCTCCCTAACCTGTTAGACTGGAGGTGCTCTTCTCCACAACACTCCTAGCTCTGTCCAAGTAGGAAGGACGGACCTAGGAACTGAATTTGAGTATGGCAGCTCTGAGCAGTATCGTGGAGACAGTTTCAGTTTTTCCCCTATCCCAGTTCTGATTTTAATGAGTCTCTCACATAAGAACTATCTTGTGAGCTAAATTTGCGTGAAAGTAAGTGCCTTTGGGGCAATTAACATAGGCCATTTCTACACTACAGGTGCTGTAGTGGCAGTTATGACTCTGTAGTGTTGATGCTTCCTACATTGAAGGGAGGGGTTTTTCCATCACTGTAGCTAATCTGTGTCTCTGAACAGCAGTAGCTAGTTTGATGGAAAAATTCTTCTGTTGACCTAGACACATCTACTTAAGTAAGCTTAACTGTGGTGATCTGGGGGATGAATTTTTCACACCCCTGAACACAGTACCTATATTATCTAACTTTTAAGTGTAGACCAGGTCATTATCGTGGCGTGGCGTGGTGTGATGACTCTGGTCAGGAAGGGTAACTTTCAAAGGTCACAAAGCTAATCCTGCTTTGAATTAAAACAAGGTAAGTATAATCAAGCTGGGGTTGGCTTCTAAGTTCCCTCTAAGCTGCGTGGCCACCTATTAAGCCCCGTGCAGGGGCTGAGGGCTGCGGCGGGGAGAGATGCCTCTCCCACAGCATGGACCTGCTGCGGCGGGGAGAGGCGCCCCTCCCCCAACCCAGCCCTGGCACGGACCTGCCGCTGCCAGGAGAGGCGCCTCCCTACCCAGTCCAGGGGCTGCTGTGGGGAGAGAGAGCTAGGAGGAGTCCTCTCCCCACCGGAGGCCCTGGGAAACCTCCACCCCAAACCCCTCATCCCTGGCCCTACCCCAGAGCCCGCACCCCCCAGCCAGAGCCCTCACCCCAATCCTCTGCCCCAGCCCTGAGCCCCTCTCCCACATGCGTGGGAAAAATTAGAGGGAACACTGGTTGGCTTGTGTATGCATCTGGTTATCTAGTCTCATTGATGTAAGTCAGAACAAACCTTAAAGTGTGTCATCCATCTCCTCTTGTTTTCTTGCTGCAACTCCCAAGATAAATCAGGGTAATTGTGCTGCCAGCAATTGAAATGAATAATTTCATGCCGTCATCCTGAAGCCTCTCTGTCATCTGGGGCATGAGATGTTGATGCAGCTAAGGTCAGCTGCCTCCCTTGGTGAGTTCACCCCCCATTGATTAGCAGCTAGTGCACAGCTGTAAGAACAAAGCTGGAACTAAAGGCTGAAGAGAGAGGGTGGGAAACCTTAGGACTCCCATCCCTGAGGGCAGAATTGTTTTAATTGACCAGGGAGGAGAAAAATGTTGTTTGTTCTTTGGATCAAATCGAGCCCCTGAAACATACCATTGTTACTTCATTCAGGTTACATCCTGATCTAGCTGGTCCTCCTGTGATTTCAACTCTTCATCTGTATGTGGTTTAATACACTTTTTAAGCAGTCACTCTGCTTGGCATCTCCAGTGTATGGGTTTATAACAACCTGTCAAATGAAGTTTGTACTCAGTTTCGAAGGAGGACACATCTGCCCCAAGATGTTAAAAGTTTTAACATATATGACAGTCAAGTTTCACACAACGATGGAATTCATCAGTAGTTTATGTATTAGACGAAAACAGGAGGTTGATGTCATACTCGAGATACCAGAACCTTTCCGTGCATCATCTGATAGTCTCATAAATGACTAATGCTGGGATAGGTGCTCCTCTTCATCATATTGAACAGATCACTTCAGTCTTTTTGGTAGTCTTTTCCTGGCCAGAAGCCTAAAATTGCAAATCTGTTCTTTTAGAGTAACAGTCGTGTTAGTCTGTATTCACAAAAAGAAAAGGAGTACTTGTGGCACCTTAGAGACTAACCAATTTATTTGAGCATAAGCTTTCGTGAGCTACAGCTCACTTCATCGGATGCATACTGTGGAAAGTATAGAAGATCTTTTTATACACACAAAGCATGAAAAAATGGGTGTTTACCACTACAAAAGGTTTTCTCTCCCCCCACCCCACTCTCCTGCTGGTAATAGCTTATCTAAAGTGATCACTTTGTGCTGGAAATGGCCCAACTTGATTATCATACACATTGTAAGGAGAGTGATCACTTTAGATAAGCTATTACCAGCAGGAGAGTGGGGTGGGGGGAGAGAAAACCTTTTGTAGTGGTAAACACCCATTTTTTCATGCTTTGTGTGTATAAAAAGATCTTCTATACTTTCCACAGTATGCATCCGATGAAGTGAGCTGTAGCTCACGAAAGCTTATGCTCAAATAAATTGGTTAGTCTCTAAGGTGCCACAAGTACTCCTTTTCTTTTTGCGAATCTGTTCTTAATCTTCATATCCAATTCTGCTACCACTGAGCAGCTGCTGCTGCTTTGTGAAAGCCTGCAAAGAATCAAGAGGCTTGATCCACTCTGTAATGTAATTGCCAGTTTAGAACTCTGTATTTGATCAAAACCCACTATCCTTTGTTTAGTGAAACTTGAAACTGAAAATGCAAAAGTCTGTGCTGCATTGTGATGACAGTCCCCTTTGGGGGGGAAAAAAGTAAGACCGTTTTGTTCCTCTGCCAGTTCACTGTAGGGCGATGAACGTTGGAGTTGAGAATTTCAAGAATCCTGCAGCTTCTTTGAGTAGCGTCCCTATGGGTGCTCCATTGTAGGTGTGCTTGTGTCCTTGCGCTGCTGATCAGAGAACTTTGGTAGCAGTGTCCATTCGGCCTGCATGTGCTCTGTCTCTCCTCGTGCCCCTCTCACTGAATTTTTGGGTCAAACAGCTGCTAATAGTTTGGAGAGCGGTTGTCTGAATTGAATAGGAGCAGAAGTGCATAATTATGACAAGTCTCATATTAGCAAACTCTTAGATTCAGCTGTACTTAGTTTTCAGTTAATTCTGACATTGGGAATTTTAAACACTTTCATTGCAGGGAAGAAACATTGAGCAATACAGGGAGTGTTCTACTGCAACAACTTCTCCAAATAACTCCTCCACAAAAAAAAAATCTTAATTTGAAATTATTCCATTTATCTTGGTGTATTACATCTTAATTTCATTTCAGCATGAATAATTGGGGTCTTTTTTTTTCTGGGAGGCAAGGTAGCTATATCCAGTAAATTTAATATTATTTATTTTCTTTGCAGTGAGACCTCTGAGGTTTTGCAGTACACAGCGAGTGCGGCACAGGATGTAGAGAAGGTAAAAGAGCTTGCTGCATGGAGTTGATATCGTTAAGCTTTGATTAGGGAAATCTGTTTTTTGAAATGCATTGTTCTGGCCATCTTTTGTAGTTAATCTTGGATTTGCAATTTAGTCATGTCTTTTAGAGTAACAGCAACATAAAATAATCCACTCTTAAAAGAAACTAGTTCCAAGACTAGTTAAAGGGAATATCAAGTTATTTTATTACTTTGCTAGACAACTACTAGTGGATCTAAAGTTTGACTCCTTTTACAATCCCACGGATTTTTTGCTCTGAGAAAAATGTTTGTGATAACTGTAAGGGCCAACTGCCGGAAGGTAATCATGCAACCACAAATGTTGAGACTGCTAAAAGGCCAGTCACTTGATCTGTATTGACAGTTGCATATGGTATCTGTGAATTGCAGTTCTTCTCTCCAAATGGATTGATGCAGACCAGTGTGGACGTGGGGAAAATCAACCAAACTGCAGGGTAATAGGCCAGTTTATAGTATCCAGTTCGATTAGCCTGGGATTCTGTATGTGTCTTTATTCTGGAAAAATGCAATCCACTTGGTCACAGTGTGGGGAGAATTCAGAGAAGATTGTAGAGGATTGATAATGGGATAATTAAGGCCTTTCACCTCTTGTTTGTTTTGTTTCTACAGTTGCGGCTAATTTCTAATGCCTACTTACTGTCTTATATAGCTTTGGACCAGTTTGTAGTAGATTTGATCCCTCATCAAATGATGATCTTTCATTTTCAGTACACAGCCTGTTAAAGTACTATCAAATTTTATACAAGTGATAAGGTTCTGCACAGCTCTTAAGAGCTACATCACCCATATCTTTTTTTTTTTTTTCCAATTTATTGAACCCCATTCTCCCCACGCGTCTTGCTTTGAAGGCCTAATATTATGGGGACCTTCCTTGTGACTTCATCAGGAGCTTGTCTAACTTAACTCTTTTCATCTGCTAGAGAAAGAGAGAGGTGCAAAGAATCCTTCCCAGGGCTGATTGCATAGCCCAAGAGATGAGACTCAGACCCCTGCATGGTAGCATGTTGCTTACTGCTGAAGGAGGAGGTGTGATGGGTTGGATCACAGAAACCCCCCTGGGGTTGATAGCTGTTGTGCCAAGACTACTTCTGCCCCTGCTTTCCCTGCCAGCATGGGACACCAGCACCCTGTCTTGCTGGGCCAGACACGCCAGTCTGCTCCAACACAGACCCAGGGTCTGAACCGCGTGCCCCAAAGCTGCAGACTTAACTGAAAGCAACTTAAGTAGTGTTCCGGTCTTAAACGCTCAGATGCTCAACTCCCAAAGGTGTCTAAACCCCAAATAAATCTGTTTTACCCTGTATAAAGCTTATACAGGGTAAACTCATAAATTGTTCGCCCTCTATAACACCCTCTATAATAGAGAGAGATGCACAGCAGTTTGCGCCCCCCCCCCCAGGTATTTATACATACCCTGGGTTAATTAATAAGTAAAAAGTGATTTTATTAAATACAGAAAGTAGTATTTAAGCGGTTCCAAGTAGTAACAGACAGAACAAAGTGAATTACCAAGCAAAATAAAAAACACACAAGTCTGTCTAAGAAAACTGAATACAGATAAAAACCTCACCCAGTAAGCTTCCTTTTACAGACTAGTCTCATTCTAGTCTGGGGCCAGCAATCACTCACATCCCCCGTAGTTACTGTCCTTTGCTCCAGTTTCTTTCAGGTATCCTTGGGGGTGGAGAGGCTATCTCTTGAGCAAGCTGAAGACAAAATGGAGGGGTCTTCCACAGGCTTAAATAGACTTTCTCTTGTGGGTGGAGACCCCCTCCTCTTTCCTATGCAAAGTCCAGCTCCAAGATGGAATTTTGGAGTAATATGGACAAGTCACATGTCCATGCATGACTCAGTTTTTTCAGGCAGCAGCCATTGCTTACCTTGAATGTCCTCAGGTAGACTTCTTATGTGGATTGGAGCATTACAAGTTTCATTGTCCTTTAAGTGTTTCTTGATTGGGCACTTAATTTGCACATTCCTTTCTCAAGAAGCTGACCAAATGCTCTACAAAGTCTACTTAGAAATCAAGCAAGTATACAGCCAATATTCATGACTTCAAGTACAAAAATGATATGTGCATACAAATGGGATTAATAGATTCAGTAGATCATAACCTTTACAGAGATATGTTACATGGCATATGTAGCATAAAACATATTCTAGTTATGTCATAATTCATAAGCATATTTCCATAAAGCCTTAAGGGGTGCACTATCAGAGAAGGGTTGGGAAGAGAGGATTTACAGAGGGAGATGGGGACCTAATTGGTTCAGGGATCTACTAGCAAGGTAATCCTCCTAGTTAAACCCAGACTTTGCTATGGATGAAACTTTCTCAGGAACAGCACAGTTGATGCATGGGCATGGAGAATGTTCTATTCAGGTTTCCATGGCAAGTGTGGAGTGGGAGGTTTTTATCAACATTTGATAAATTAGACACAGGGATGTATATTGGTCTTAAAAAATGTGCGTATGCACAGCTGTTGCCAACAGAAATTTAAACATACACATTAATAATACAGTTTCTGCCATCATGTGAAAAGGATCTTGCTCCTTCACCCTTAGGGTATGTTTGTGCAGCACCTGAGGTTTTGTTTCCCAGTATGGGTAGACAGACACTCACCAGCTCCGCTTGAGCTAATTCGCTAAGAATAGCTGTGTGGCCACAGTGGATTGTGCCAACTACCTGAGTACAAACCCGCCTGACCCTCTGCATGTGTATTTGGGTGGTGAACCCGAGCTGCTGTGGCCACATTCCTATTTTTAGCACTCTAGCTCAAATAGAGCTCACATATTTCTGTCTACCCATGCTGGGAAGTGCCATCCCAGGTGCAATATAGACACACCCCTAAAAGTTGAAGAATTCAGACATCTCATAACTTTCATGAATTTCCTGCTGCTGTGGAAAGCCCACTTTCCATTTGGTGATCAATGTGTAAATAAACACATTTGAGGACCAGTCCAGAAATGCTTAAATAAAAGTTTTAAGTAGTTAACATGGGCAGGTTCAGCCATAATATTCCATTATGCTATGTCTTGTTCTGATCAAAAACGAAGCCTCATAAGAGATTGGAGACTTTCTAACGGTGACAGCGTACTTCAAAGATGTGCGGGAGATGTGAATTTCAGCTTTACGTGGTTGCTGAGCAATCAGACAGCAGAGCAAAGTTGTAGCTTTGTAATTTTCAGAGCTCTGCCTCTTGATAAGGCTGAAAACATGAACAGAAATTTAACATTGTGAATTCATGTTGGAGCAGTTCATTACTCTGATTTTATTTTTAATGAGAAGTGATGCATTTTTGTAGGGAGTGGGCTATAAGAGCCTGGATATAATGGGATGTACATTTGAATTCAGTGCAGCACTCAGATCCAAGTATACCTCTATTTTCCACCTCTATACAACTGGGGGGATGCCAAACTGATTTTGTTTTAGCTATGAAAAAAAGCCACAAGTCTTTTACATAACTTTGCAGACTGTGTAATCTTAACTGTAATAAAAACATTGTTTTTCAGTGCTGTGTGGTAATTTCAGAGTGCTTTTCTATGAAGGACAGCACATCTAAATTTGCCGTGGGAGTGATTTTTATAGCATTCAGGTTCGTATGCTAATACCATGCTGCTGGTTCTTTCTTCCCCATACAATGATCTTGAGTTCCTCTTCTCCACCTGGTCTGCAATGAGATGCTTAACTGAAGATATTTAAATGTAGATAGTCAGTTAATAGTAAAAGAGGCTCCTGACCTGGCTACCTTACTGCTACCTTTGTGAAGTTGTTATACTAGGATTTTTGCTTTTCAGCGTTAAACAGCTTTAAAATCTTTGTTGAAGGTCACCTGCTGTCACTGCGCCTTGCTCATTGATAATGACATAATGCCACATCAGGGTACAAATGAACCATGGAAATCCTGAAATCAATTGCTTTTGGAGTCTCTAGAGAAAACAAATTGTGAACTGGAGCCGAATAGCCTCTGTCAGGCAGCAGGAAAGTCTTTGTGCCACCCAATTTCTGTTGGAATCATCTCTGTAATTCCTATTAAATCATGTTAGTTAATATTTTTATAAATTCCACTTTCTGAATTGCAGAATGAGATAGGTCTGTGTTTTGACCAGGAGCAGTACAAGGCAGAGAATGGGAGGAATGTGATGTAACGCCTACTTCCAATTGGTAGATCTCTCTAATTTGCAGGTATTGCAGCCTGTGTTTTAGCTGCATCTCATAAAAAAAAAAGTGTAAAATGAAACCTCATCCCAGGTGATGTGTGTTTAACTGTTTAATCCAGATGGTAAAGTCTAATAATTTGGTCCAATCTCCCCTTTCTTATTGATTAGTTTTGATGGGATGAGCAAACTGGCATTATTTATGTTCTGTCAACTCTATTAAAATCTTGGGTTGGGGAACCTAGTTACCTCCATGGTCATGCTCAACACAGTTGGGTGTAGAGCAGTGGTTCTCAACCTATTTATCATTGTGGGCCACAGGTTGAGAACCACAGCGTCCCCCTCAAAACTCCACACACTCCCCTATGCCTAGCATCCCCCGCCCAGAGACCCCTCCACAGAGAGACCAAGAGCGGAGCCGTGGGGCCGAGCAGCCTAAAACCTGGGAGTGCTGCAGCACCACCACAAACTCCTGGTTCTCAGTACCTCCCACCCCCTCGCTGCCCAGAACACCCCCTCCCCCAAATCTGCCCAGAGACCCACACTCCTGCACCCTACCCCCCTGATGCACTCACCAACCCCCTGGTGGCAGGTGTGCTCCAGCAGGCTGCCAGATGCTGTCTTCCCCTCAACCGGCCCTGCCCCCTTTCAGACCAAAGTGGCAAATTTTGAATTTTTTTTAGCATACAGCTATGTGCTAATTGAGAACCGCTGGTGTAGAGGAGTTCGGACTGTTCAACTGGATTACTGAGTTGTGTGAAAACCTTGGGCTTAATTATCCCTGTTACTACACTTCGCTGCA